AGCTGACAGCCTGTCAGAAATGCAGAATCTCAGGCCCCTCTCCATACCTACCCTGCCAGAATCTGAAATTTACAAGATTTCCTGGGTTCCTCTAACACACTCTGATATGCTGTAAGTCAGGGATTAAAAACACAAATACTTTATTGGGCTAGGCATATCTCCAAAGTGAATGAAACAAATATATAATGTATATAATGATAATAAATATAACCTATAACATATTATCATGATATGTATATAATCGTGATTATGTACATAATCACAATAATAGGTAACCCCTGACCTTTGGCCTCCTCATAGGAGTGGTAGGGACTGTATTTACATGGAGATCTTTAGCTTCATCTAAAAGGCACAAGCTACTGTCCAGAGTCACATAACTGCAAGGTTAGTGTTGGAAGATCTTTGAACAGTTCAAGAGAAACCAGAAATACAAACCTGCATGTATAATCTGTGGACTTAGACACTGATAACTAAATTCAATTCTTTTTCAAGCAAAAGAAATATGAGAATCAAATAGAACTCACCTGTGTGATAACTTTACTTGAAGGATCTTCAGTTTTCAAAATCTCATACAAAGAAGGATATCTTTTAGGCATTCAGTTAATACTTCCTAAGGCTTCACTAATTCAGAATTCTTTAATTTTACAAGTCAGGAAACTGTTTCTTTTCTTTAGCCATCTAATTCTTCTTTTCTCTTATTAATTTGTTTATTCAATACTCATTCAGTGTCTACTCTGTGCTGGTTGGGTCCTATGCTAAGTACAGAACAACTAACAATAAGTTAGTTTTAGTTAGTTATAATCTATGACTTCCAATGGCATCTAGTCTCGTAATGACAACATTATACTTATGAAACAGATTTGATGTGGGTATTGTTACAATAATTTGTAATGTGTGCTTTTGAGGGATAGTATTGAGAAGGTTATGCTCGATCTTAGTAGTTCTCAAATCTAAGTGGAGAGACAGAAGCAGAAGGTACAGATGACTGAAGACAAATGGTGTGAAGGAGGTTGACAAGAGGATGTAGTTGAACATAAAAGCAATCCCAAAGAAGTGAATTCTGGATGGAATGTATGGCACCCGTGGTGATTTTAAAATGTTAAGACTTCCTGTAACACTTCCTCAGCTTCATAGTTTCTGGCACTACAGAAAACATACTTTATCTCCACTCAAGAAGGGAGAACTGTTTCACAAAAGCTAAAGCTCTGAATTCCATTTCTTGTGTACATTAAAGACTTAATTGACTGATTGAACCACATTTTGCATATTTTTTTCTAGTTGTTACATTCTCATTTCTTCAGTTGGTCTGAGGGGATTTTGTCTCTTTGGGGGAGTGGTTTATATTTCCTTGGGAGAGGCAGTGATATTTTTGAGAAAGTCCCATACTGGTAACAAACTCTTCACAAGGCTTTATGTTAGTTTGGTGGCAGCTGTGACCAAAAGTGTAATAAAAATCAACTGAACGTTTTATTCAAATGTGCTTTTCCCAGCAGTGGTGAGTGAACAAAGGTTGAGTTAATCTGTTATACAATATCTAGGACAGGATTTTCTATCCAGGATAAAAGTATGCTTTGTCTCATTTCACTTGAACTTCCCATTTCATTCATCTTTCCATGTTGAATAATGCTCTGATGCTAACATTAGTAACTTTTTAGTTAGCTTTTTCTTTGAGGCAACATAATCGTTTGTTTTCCATGGTGTTTACCATCAAGTATGCCATCTTGGATGACTCTCTGCCCTGTAATATTCATCTACTCTCTGCATAGCAAGCCATTCACCTACGTAGAACTAGGTTTTTTTGTTTGTTTGTTTGTTTGTTTGTTTGTTTTTTATGTGGAGTGTTGCTCTGTTACCCAGGTTGGGGTGCAGTGGCACGATCTTGGCTCACTGAAACCTCCGTCTCCCGGGTTCAAGCAATTCTCCTGCTTCAGCCTCCTGAGTAGCTGGGATTACAGACACACACCACCATGCCCAGCTAATTTTTGTATTTTTAGTGGAGACACAGTTTTACCATGTTGGCCAGGCTGGTCTCAAACTCCTGATCTTTTGATACACCCGCCTAGGCCTCCCAAAGTGTTGGGGTTACAGGTGTGAGCCACCACGCCCAACCAGAACTTGTTTTAATGCTTAGTTTCACTGTTTCCATTCTGACTGGCAAAATTTTCATACTATGTGTTATTGTCCTCCCCATTTGACATCTCTAGACCTCATGCATTACAAAGTCTCTGCATTCTGCAGATGTTTTAGCATTCAACATTTCTCTCTGTTCCCAGTTTTTCTTCCTTAATCAACAAAATAGCAACATATCTACCCTCTGCTTCTTTGTTCATCCTAGAAAGTAAGAAGGCTAGAGTTACCCAGAAAACTTGAGTCTATTGTATTTTTTGAGATGATATTTTTAATAAATTCTTCTTTTTTTCTTCTCTCCCTCCCTCCCTCCCTCCCTCCCTTCCTTCTCTCCCTCGCTCCCTCCCTCCCCTCCCCACTTTCCTGCCCTACTGTCATATCTTTCATGCATTATTTAAATATCTTCCAATCCACGTATTTTCATATTTTGCACATCAGCCACAGTGACTTTTTTAAAATGAGAAATCTGACCACATGACCACACATGTCCCCAACTTAAAGTACTGGAATGATTTCTCACTGCCTAAGAAAATTAAGCTCAGATTCCTCATCTGACATATAAGCTCCATTATACTGTGTCTCTTGTGTGACCTTTCATAGCTATACCAGCCACCCCTGAGATTCTCCTGGTCTCTGAATGGGACCCCCTTGACTTTAGTGCCTGGCTTTTCCCTTTGCTAAATGTCATACTCCATTCCCTTCCCCTGTCTTTCTGTCTTCCCACTTCTTTTTCCTGCATATCTTCCCATGGGCATATTGCCACATCACACTTGCTTTGAGAGCACAGTCTCTGCACACTCTCAGGCTAGATTCCAGCATGGGTGTTCCACTTACTAGTTTTGGGCCTTGAACAAGTTATCCTACCTCTCAGTGCTTTCATTTCCTCATCTGTGAAACAGGGTATTACTAGCTCACCTTACCAGGTTGTTGTGAAAACTAAACGAACAAACCATATAAAGAATTTATTATGTGAGTATGTAATACATTATTATGACTAAATCCATAACTCTTCACAACACATTAATATCACATTTTTAGTCAGCTTAAGAATATTAAAAAGGCAAACCTTTTGTGATGAAAGATCATAAACAGAAGAAAGCATTCCAAAGCTAAATATAAATGATTTGAGGATTACCAATTAACTAGGATCGGTCATTTTCCGTTCTCTTTCATTGATTAGGATAATCAACACATAGTTTTTGAAATTCAAGATTAAAATAAAATGGATTAAAATTACTGAATACCTGTATTGGAAAGGAAGAATGGAATATAACAGTAGGCATCACATAATTACTCAATTGCTTTTCTAATCTCAGTTAAATGCTTTATTGGGATATTACCAAGATTTTAAAATTTCAAGATGATTCTTCTTTTCTGTTTTAGGAGATTAGGAGGTTGAACATTTGACATTGTACAAACTCCAATGATTCATATAGATATTGTACTACTTAACCTAGGTATACCAATGACTGTGCTATTTCCAGGATAAATCACTTGGGTTTGAAGTTTGAAGCAGTACCTAGAGTCTGATCCTGAGTCATACTTAGGATCTCAGGAGACTCTGATGAACAGGAAAAAGTAGGTGCTTCCAGCTGCTTTCTGGAATGCTATTTAGATTTCTAGTTGGCTCTAGGGCCAGATCATGCTTCTATTTAAAGCAATGGTCTCAGGCAGCTAGAAGGAGTCCTGTTGCTATGTTACCCAAAGGATTTTATAGTTGGGAATACAATATAAGGGCTTGGATTTGGTGAAGCTATAACTTTAAACAAAAACTGGTTCCATTCTTGAATATCTGTTGGAACGAAGGCAAACCTGAGGAAATGTCACGTGGAAACCTCCTTGCCCTCCCTAGCAGCCACGGTTAGAGTCTTCCCCAGGGCAGCCTAAATTACTGGCCTCCTCCAAATTGCTCTAGGGGATTAAGAGCTGGTCTCTGGCAATAGACGTTTTGCCCCAAGCAAGACCCTGTTGAAAGTGAAAGGGGTCCAATCATTTCAACAACCCTGGTTTGCCCAGAATGATGGCAGAAATAAGAAATGTTACTGTCAAACTGGATCTGTGGTTATTCTAAAGCTGGAGTTAGGATAAATGGTTAATACCGAAAAAGGCTAAAGAGATTTCATTACAAATATTTGCTCTCCCCTTCTCTTTGTGTGTGTCTCTTAGTTTATTTCTCTCTTTCTTGCATATCGATAACTTTCTTCTAACTTATGAAGTTTACATGTAGCTCTCAGAAGACCTATGCCGTAATAAAAATTCCCACATAAAAAAAGAACTTCTCTTCTGTTAAAAGTGTCACTATGATATAAATTACATTATAATAACATCACCTGGTGAGATTGCAATGTTTATGAAGTTCGTGTGTATTGAGATTATTAATAGTCACAATAAAGCACAATAGTTTACATTTCCAGTAAGTACTGTCTATAGATGCATCTACATTTACTGTGGGTCTGAACATGATTTGTTGCTGTTGCTTTGGAGCTTTTCAACTAGAGGCCTATATGTGAGGGGTGAAACTTAAATTTAACTTTGTTTCCTCTCTGTGAAATCTGTTAGTGCATTTTGACAGTTCCTTCATTAGATACATAATTAATGAGGGCCTATGCTATATGCTAAGCACTGTTAGAGTTGATGTGTGACACAAAAATAAATAAGATGTGGTCTTATACTGAAAGTACTCACTCTCTGCCAAAATATCTTCCTTTGTCTTTTAGTGACAATTGAATCTTAACGTTTATATTTGGTAGAATCCACTGTTATCTGAAATAAAATATTTATGTCATTGTCAATCTATTTAAATGAAATTTTAACTTTTTTTTTTTTTAATCACTTCTACTCCGGATCATATCCTGGGCATCTTTTCTGTGAAGCTGAGTCATCCAATGGCGGCTATTCCTGAACATGAAGCTCTTGATTCCAAAGAGGTAAATGTAAGATAGGACTGGACATCTAGTTCTCCATTTCTGTGTGATTGTAGAAATAAACCAATCTAATTTTTTTAATGTTAACAAAATTGTGCTTTTATAAAAAAGGAAAGAATTGTTACTAACTGTTCCACTCTGTCGGTCAGAAGGATTTGATAGTGAAATAAGTAAATTCTTGCTGACTCTCAATGCAGAAGGTAGCACTAGAGTTCCCCGTGTGTGATACCTGGACCAACAAACCAACACCTACCTCGAGTGCCTGTCTTTGTGATTCCCTTTTTGGGTTCATATGTGAAATCACTGTTGTCTTCTTTCTCTAGAGGGTAATGGATGTCCTATAATCCATATGGTGTGTTTTCAGGGTCAGATTCACACTATCTCATGATATCTCAGTTTCAGTTCATAGGAAGATGAGTGCTAGGCTTACTGAGCCCCACCAACCCCACCTTCCCCAAGTGAATTTTATATATGGCATGCAGCTTTTAGACAAAGGCATATCAGCTCAATCGTAGCCTCTACATTTCATGTAAATGTTTATCTATTTTAATGTTTTGAGCTGATAACTGAAAAGTAAGTTCAAACAACTTTCTTTAAAAAAAAAAAAAAAAAATGCTATACCATAGAAACAAAGGCAAAAATTCTGTAAAGACATGTTTTCTTCAAGGTTTGCTTTTGTATTTATCAAGAGCAAGAATAACTGCTGAAGGTGTTTTCTTCTTCTACATCCTCTCAGATAAAGTGGAAAATGGGAGAAAAAAAGTGATTTTAAAAAACTTGTCTCTGAGAAGGGACTGGGTGAGCTCACACATTCATTTAAAATACCCTTACAAAAGAAGTATGCTTAATTTTGCAGCCTCCAAGTTTAGAAAGAAACAAGCATAACATAAAAGAGAGTAAGAATAATAAAATTCCATGTATAATTTGAATTTTCTTTTCCAAGCCATATTTTCCACAATTTAAGGCATATTATCTACTTTTCCTAAATTGGCATCCCTATTTCTGCAAATTTAAAAAGCTCTGTCATAATATAAGACTGATGCGGCTTTTGGCTGTAACATTAGTCATTAAAATATAAAGTTGTGTTATGAATAGGTATGCATTTATATCATTGACCGCATCTCTGGTTACTTTTTAAGATAATATTGTAAAAATAGGATTATTGGTTTTATGAATATAAACATATGGAAGACTCTCAACACATGTAGCCAAATTGCTGTTCTGGAAAATTGTAGTAATTTACCCTATGAGGAGTGCGTTCTAAAAATATCTGCCTCCATGCAGTCTTGGCAGCATTGAGAATTACTATAATTCCCAATCTATTGAGAGGTTACTATACGTTACAAACAGTGTTATGCACTTTGTTTTACTTTATTTTCATAAAACATTCTTAAGTTAAGTACTATTATTATCTTTTTTAGAGATGAGGAAACTAAAGCTGCAGGAACTTAATCTATTGCCTAAAGTCAAATAGCTACAAAGTGTCTCCACAATCAGAAATTGAATCCAAATCTGACAGCCTGCAGTCTGTGCTTCTTGGGCACTCTATTATTTTCTGTCTAGTGTCTAAATTAATCTAAATTAGGATTTTTAATTTAGATAAAGATATTTATCCAAATTTCTCTATTTTTAATTTATATTTCTATCTATATGATCTAATTCTTTCTCTTTTAAAATCACCTTTTAAAATACTTGCCAAATTAAAAGGGAAAGTTACTTTTTAATATTAACTTGCATGTTAAAATTCTGTATTTCTTCTGTTATTTTTGTCTTTATTTTTTATCTATTTTGTTTTTGCACTATCTTATGCATTTATTGGTATGGTGATATATTTTGTTAAGTAGTAAACTCCCTTTTTATATATTACAGTTAATAACTTTTTGTCAAATGTGTTAGCTCTTTCAGTATGATGGTGACAAATTGTATAATAGTGAAAATTTAGAAAAATATATATGTTCAGAAATAGAAGAACGATTAAATAAATTTTGCACATTTCAGATGAATATAAAAAATAGGAAACTTTGTATTTCTTTCAAATACAATAATTTTGGTTCAAGTTCACATAGGCTATATCTATACAATAAGAGTGTTTCTACACAAACAAAGAGAAAATCAATTGGTTATTAAATTACAAAAACAGCCAGTTCGGATAACAAATTGAGAACTACTGAATGTTAGGTAATGCAAAAGACTTTGTGAGCCAAAGAGAATGGTATAGATGTAGTATTTGCATTTTTTTACACCGATTATCACAACCCTTGAGACAAAACTTAAAATTAAGATAGTGGATAAGATTGCCATAAAATGATTTTGATTCAGGTTTGGAATATATGAAAAGTGTCATTTACAGTTTGAACTTTAACTTCGTGAGAGAAGACTCTCAACACACGTAGCCAAATTGCTGTTCTGGAAAATTGTAGTAATTTACCCTACGAGGAGTGTGTTCTGATAATATCTGCCTCCATGCAGTCTTGGCAGCACTGAGAATTATTAGAATTCCCAATCTATTGAGAGGTTACTATGCATTACAAACAGTGTTATGCACTTTGCTTTACTTAATTTTCATAAAACATTCTTAAGTTAAGTACTATTGTTATTCTTTTTAGAGATGAGGAAACTAAAGCTGCAGGAACTTAATCTATTGCCTAAAGTCAGATAGCTAGGATGTTTAACTTTGTGAGAAATAGTCGTAAAAAAATATAAATAATTAAGCAAAAGGCCATTTTGTGCTTCCAGTGTGCTGTATTTTACTTCTTAGTAATATTGGCACATTTTGGAGCAATTTAGCAACTTTTTACAACTTCTTATGATATGTGGTCAGACTCTATTGACCCGGATATTTTCCCCAAATCTTTTCTCTGGTGTTATTTACTTACCTTCAACCACAACCAAGAAACATCACTTTTATAAAGCAATTCTGTTCTTATGAGTATATGACCTAAAGGAATAAACCATTTCAGTTACAAACACAGTGCAAATAAAGAATTATGGAAGAGCCCTTGATGGCATCTCAGAATTTTCCCCTTGGTTTTTCTTTCATTTCCTAAAGACATTAGTTTGTCTTGCTTACTACCAGATTGTCATTTCTTGAATCAATTCAGGCTATTTGTAGATACTACCTTTTTAAAATTAACTCAGTAATTCATTTAAATACAAACAGATGTTAGATATATCTGATTTGACTTACCCATCATTTTTATAACTCATCATTTCTAAAGTTCATTTAAAAGGAACGAACTCAAAAAACGAACAAACAAACAAACAAAAAAACAATTCCACTTATCATCTAGCTCAGTGGTTCTCAACCCAGGCTGAACATTACAATCACCTGTAATTGACTTTTGAAACACACCAATGACCAATATACTTCCTTGTCATATGACAGGGATCCACTCCAGACAAATTAATAAATCAAGAAACTTTACAGGTGACAAAGGTATTGGTATGTTTTAAAATCTCTTCAGATTATTCAAATATGCACCAAAGGTTGAGATTTTCAAATTATAGCTCCTTCACTGGCAGTATAGGAAGGCCAATCAAATAAATCGGTCATTCAACCCTGAAAACACAAAATAGAAAGTAAAAGTAGGAGGATCATAAAAGAATATGTTCCAGTGAATGATTTCAATTACTGAAAACTTGGATAGCAACAAATTCCTGTCCAATGGCTTAAAGGAATAACATGTGCTTTAATTTGTGGTAGATTAATTTTGAGAGATCTGTTCTATGTTGAGATTCACTGTAATTTCATTAGCAAAATTTAATACTTTATTTTTGTTTGCCTTCACATTCCATACAAGGTTTGGAAATTGCTTAGGATGGGGCTGGCATAGTATTTGGTGCAAGCTGAGTCTGGAGGCTTAGTGCATTCCAAACAATGTTTTATTTGTACTTTATATAACACTTAAAATACATGGTCACTGATGAACCTCCATACAAGCAGATGGGATCTGTAAATAATTGGTTTGACCATTGTATCATCTAAATGATTTTCAAAGAAGAATACTTTCAGAGATTTTTACTGTTCACACCAGTGCAGTAATTTCTAAGTAAGTGAATATTTAACACCATACAGGCAGAGCATACTCGTTGACTAAGATAAATGATTTCTGAGTTGAGTTACTTAGGAGAAAATTAAATTCTAGTAGTGACAATTATTTTCTTATTGTATTTCTCATCTTGTGAGTTCAGCAACTCTTTTATCCACAACTACTCCATAACCTGCTTCTCCTTCTGCAGACTTATTTGTGAATGTCATACTGCAGAATGAGATATAAACAGACTGCCCCTCTTTGTATTACCTGCTACATACAGCCCTATGACTCCTGCATTTTATTTTCAAATTGAAGATCAATTGATTTCCCAAAACATGATTAGATTCATTTGGTTCTGACCTTTCAGGTTCATTTGTTATTAACACAACTTAAGAGCTAATCATTCACTAGCTGCCCATAAAACACATACTAGGCAAATTCTTGTCTTTTCTTATTCCTTCTCTTTGCAGATTTTTGATAAACATTTAAGGGTTTACAAGACAACAATTCTGTTAGCGAGGTGACTATCACTCATTTGCCACTTTGGTGGTATATAAGCTTTCTGAGTTTATTTTATTTTGAATTTCAGAACTTCCACTGATGTCTAAGGTTCTAATAGTATAAAGCAGCCATGCCATTCTTCTGACTTTATTCTTTGGGTGGGAACATAGAAAAGAGAAAATAAATTACTTGCCCGTGGAAGCCACTCTCATTTTCTGGTTTGATTTAAGGGTAAAAATAAAATTATCAAGAGAAAAAGGCCCACTCTCTTCTTTTCAGGCAATTTTCCAAAACATTATTTCTCAAAATGAAGCTTTGATACATCTTGGATTGCTGAGAGTTGAAGGTTGTAATCTCAGGCAAGAATTTGGAATCTGGATATTATTACCAGTTGATTAAAAGAAGATTCCTATGCATTGATACACAAATGGCTACAGGGCCAGGGTAACTTTGTCTTATAAAAATAAAGACACCTGATACAGGTACCTGAGTAGATAACCACCTTTCCCAGGCATCAGGTGGTCAGGGAAATAATAAAGGAAAGGATATTCCTATATCCAGATTTGGTAGCAATGGGTCCATCAAAATGATTTTCTTGTGTTGTAAGCCTCCAACCTGTGTTGAGGAAATGTAATTTAAAAAAAAAAAAAACAAAACAAAACCTTTCTTCTAACCCAGAAGTTCCCTTCACAAGGGTAGTAGAGAAATAAAACCCTTTTTGTTATTGAATAAACATTGAACCAGAATGTGATGTGCATCATAGGCAATCTGCTAAGAGATTGCAGAGACAAGAAGAAATCTCAGACTTCATATCACCAAGGAGACAGACCCCATTGCATACATGTTCTCAAGATCAACAATAGTTAAGTGGGTCCTCAAATAAGAAAAAATGAAAGCATCATTAATTATACATAGTTCATCCTAAATTTACCTGAAATTTGGGATGACAATCTGTGTCTGGCTTTACACAAGGCAAAGTAAACTTCGCATACCTTTACGACATGGGGTCATTTTATAACTTTGAGCCAGGCTTGAGCTAAAGTTAGAGTCTTACCCTCCCTGGAAACTGGCAGATAGGGATGCTGTCTTTCTTGGCTGTTTACATTTAAAGGAGATGATTCTCAAGTCCTTGAAAGAAACTCTTCAGGGCCTGACAAAAGGCCCACCTGTTTTCAAAAGAACTTATATACATTTCAAAGAGAGGAGAAAGTACTTACAATGATGAGTTTTCTAAAGTAAATGCTTTAAGAAAAAGAAGGGAGAGGGAAATCTCTCCCCTTATGCTCAGCAGCAAGAATTAAGCCTTTCTTTTTGAATTTCCAATTGTTCTTACACTTGGTTGGCAAGAACCAGAATTAAAATCAGGGAGAGTCTGGCTCTGAAGTAGCCAATAAAAAGAAACGGCTCTCATTTATTTTTCATTTCTAGAAACTCAGTTAAATCTACTATAGAAGTGGGTGTTTGACAATTTTGGGGTCTCTCCTTCAAAGTCATCTCAATAGATTCAAGTTAGGTTTGAATCTGTAGTGAGTCATTGTCAAGTTGAGCAGAAGTCAGGAACTAAAAGGATCTATGACTCCTCTGTGTGGTGGCTTGTGAAGACTATTTCTAGCTTCCAAGAGAAACAAACAAAACAATAAGGTCAGAGTTAATAATTATTTGGAACTCACATCATCCAGATGTCACATGGTTTTGACCCCAGATTCAACATTGTACTCTCTAGAATCCATTGTACCTGCATCCTTTATCTATGAGGTTGCCTTTATAGGACCTTAATTACTGAACGTTTTATACCTTCTGGCTTATGGATAATAAACTCTGATACCAGATTTTGTCTTTTTTTCACCAAAGTCAATAGTTACATAAATGCACAAAACATTTGAAATCTTTCAGGAAAAAAAATGAACATGCAGCATTTAATCATATTATGATACACATTTCTTGGAAATGGCTTTTCGTTCTCAATACATGCATCCTGATTTCATATTCACAAGAACACATATGTAGGTTATTTTGTTTTCATTTTGCAGTAAAGAATATGCATATTTGGTTTTGCTTTTAATGGGAATGAAAAACTAACTCACACAGCACATTCCTTTAAAAAATGCTTTCTGTAACATTGGCTTAATGTTTCACAAGAATATATTACTTATTACCCACAGTTAACTCTGAATTAAAAGAAAACAAACAAACAAGCTTTTGAGTTTGACTGTGTTCCAGGATTATGACTTCCAAAGCACCTTAAGTTCTTTCTTACTTATATTTTCTTATATCCAAAATAAGTGTGTTATTTCATTGGCAATATAATAAAATACTGAGCCTTAACTGCCAGGGTGCTAGTTTGAAAATAGAATTGATGTATTTGTTGATGATTCTCACTTTTCTTACATGTCCACCTTTGTTATTCCCAAGGTTTGTTTTTTGTTTTTTGTTTTTTTGTTTTTTTTTAACTCTTTACTTATACTGAGATTGGCAAAAAAAAAAAAAAAAAAAAAAAAAAAAAAAAAAAAAAAAAAAAAACAACCACGTAAAAACTTCACAACGTGTCTAAAATGATGGCTGTAGCTGTCATAGCATAGTACATCTTTTCCAACTGACTGCTAAATTGTGGGGGCAAACATTTATTTGATGTGCTGGTGGGCTTGGGAAGAGCTGAGACATAGTGCTAAAGTTGCCGGCATGGTGTCAGAAGATGATTTGCCTATGGTGCTTCAATCTGATTTAATGATTCCTATTATAATAAAATTTTATATTCGAGAGGGAACTTAGAAGGCATTTATTCCAATATTTTATTTAATGTTATAATCCCATCTACGTAATATATGCTCATATATCTTCTATTGAACCTCTCCTGGTAACAGAGTTCACCATTTCACAAGCCAGACTCAGTGTATGTTTTAGTTTGACTAAGACAAACTAAGTAATGGCTATGTGAACAACAAAAGCAAATAGAAAGCATGAAATAAACTGGGGCTTAATTTGGAGCACTATGACCTTGGGTGTGATATTGAATCTTTCTGAGCTTCAATTTTATTCTTTGTAAAATGGAATCAAATGATTGTGAAGATCTGCCTAAATGTATGTAAAGTGCTTAGCATATAAAATACATGGCACTTAAAAAGTATTAGCCAAATGATGATAATTTTCTTAAACCTCTTGTAAAATTAACTACTACTAAATGCTGGTACTTTAAGAAAAATTATGTTGGTGCTTTCAGAAAAAGCAAAATAATGGTAATTTTTATTTATTAGAAATATTAATGAGGAGATGTACTTGAATCATTTCCTCCCTTCATTCTAGGGCTTCAGAGAATTTTAGATGATGAAAGCTACAGTTTACTTCTTACTTTTTTGCCTGTTGATTTTCTGTGGCCAGAACAAACCAGAGCAGTCATGAGCCACCGCGTTTGTTAGTGCTTTTTATCTGTCTCCTTCTTCTAGTCTAAAATGTACTTTCTCCTAATAATGCAGATTGTAACCACGTTTCACAATCCTGTTTAGCTGCTTGGCCAAGACATATGCTTGCACATAGGAGCCAACTCTAAGTCACCACTGCTTCTTCACCTCATGATCTGGCTGAGGGCAAAGCACAGACAGTTGCCTGTAGAAAGGCTCCCATATTAGTCATGAGTTGGAAACTGGAAATAGAAAGTTCTGGTCAGTTCCTCCATTGGTGTTATTCCATCACATTGTTCTATCAGTTATGTCTTAGAACTAAATTTCTCTTCTTGCTTCATCTCTAATGCTTTCTTTTATACTTTCTTTTGTATAATCTGCCTTCACAATGCCAGTAGCCATCTTCCACTCAATTAAGTTTATCTTATCTGTTCCAGATGGTCCAAACCTATCACATAGGAATAGAGAGATTGAATGAGTAAAGAAATGATTGGAATCACTCCTCTACCACATAGCAAAATTGTAAGATCAAGCAAATCAATATATGAAAAAAAGCAAGAGGTTATTTGGTCTTGGTCTTTTGTAATATTCCCTTTTGCAAAAGCTGGGACTTAATTCAATCCCTATTCACTTAACCTCCTTGTTAGATGATGCATTTTAGGGAATGATGCAGTCAATGCTAAAGTGAAGTTAAGTCATCAGTCAAGTAATGGAAGGGTGAGGGTGTGGGTGAGATATAGCAGTGCTGTTCCTTAAGGCAGCCCCAGCCCCTCAAAACCATCATGGTACTTTGTAGGAGGCCGGAACTGCTCTGCTGAACTGTCAAGAGATTGGAGTCTGATGTAAAGGTATAGCTGTGTGTCTTTATTATGCCATTAATAGTGAAACAAGGAAGGATCTACTTAAGGAATAAAAATAAGCTTTTCCTATTATAATATAAACCATTTTTTTTGTAGGATATGCTATGACCCAATATTAATGTATAATTTTCAGGTGTATTTTTTAACATTTATTCATCTTAACCTGACTACTATATTCTCTTATTTTACAGTAATGAAGTTGGAGCAGAGGCTGAAAACACAGGCTGCTGAAGTTTTTTGGAATGCTGGTGCTAACCACTTGCTAAATTTAACCTTTTTTCCCCCCAGAATTAGTGCTCCCTTTATGAGCTGCAGTGCAGCAGAACCAAAAAAAAGTTTGCTGCAGTTATATAGCATCACAGTGCTCTGCTAACAGCCAGCATAGGAGAGATTTACCTACAGCTTTTTGCACCACTGTCCAAGCCTTTAATGCCTTCTACTTAATATTAAGCTGACAGCAATACTAACGTGCCCCTATATTTAGCAGCCAAATAAAGAAGAATCATGGGTAAATAGAAGAATGGCTGTGACTATTTTTCAATACGTATTTTATTTAATGCATACATTACTAACTGCATCAGGTTTTTATTCCCCATTTTCTTACATGAAAATCATCACAACTTTTAAAGTAACTAATTAGCTTTCAGAAGATGCTGATATTCAGACGTTTACTGGTGAGATCTTGAACATGAGATAGTTGGTATTTTGTATGACACACATTACTTTCCTGTTCTGTTGGGGTTCGGTGCTGCTGGGACAGACTGTGTGCCAGGAGTAGCCCAGTTCTGATGAACATCATGTTACTGGAGTGCCTGGGATACCATTGTCTCTCTGCCTGTCACCACATGATTCTTGTGAAGACTACTTTAGAGTTGGTTTGTATAAAAAATTCTGAGAGCAGCAGAGACCATAGAGCAAGACGGTCCTGAGAGCCCCCTAGAGGCACACCGTGTGTCCACCATGTTAGCCATTTTCTATTTATTTCCTAGTTGTCATCCCCAGCAGTCTGTCCTAGCGCCCTCTGAGTGACTTCCTTCTGCTCATCTGGGAAGCCTAAGATAACACACATGAAGAAAGAACAGCAGTCTGGACAGTGAGCCCCTGATGGTAAAGAAGTCTTGAGAAAACCTGCTTCATTCACTCTGCACATTGTCCGTGTTCTTGGTGGAGCCAGCTGTGAGCTACAGTGTCCCTAAACCAAGCTTCCTCACCCAATCCCATCACCCAAACCCAAGCAGGGAGAGTGGCCTATAGAGGAGCAACTAGGCTCCTTCATTCTCCAATAGCCATTTTAGAATGTTCCACTTTCAGCTATTATTTGACAACAGGAAATATAAACTTCTTAATGTCTCCTTTGTTGGTGTTAGAGAAGCAAAGGAGACTCAATAAAGCCATCTGCTCATCTCTCCTTCCCCCAGCAAAAACCATTTCTCCATCAACCTGCTAAATTGTGTGAAGTATCACTTTAGATTACTAATAATGATCTCTAACATTCACTGTGCTCTTATTATGAGCAATGCACCACACCAAGTGCTTTACATGAATTTAATTTAACCTCCACAATGAACCTGTGAGGTTGGTAATATTATTATCCATATTTTATTTTTGTAAGAACAGCCTCCTCCAAGTGGTTAAATTAAGCTAGTAAGTGGCAGCAGCAGAATTCAAGTCCAAGTAATCTGATTCTAAGATGAAGCCATTTACTTAATCATTTGTGTAGTCATTTATGCCGTCATTTTTGGATCTCCAGTGTAAAAGGGTGACATGATTACACTCCTCAGCTCATGGCAGATTTCTATCATAAATTTGGGCAAGCTCCCCCTTATGTATGCTTGTTGATTAATGCTCATCATTTATAATAATTTCCATCTTCCCTTCCCTGCTGTAGGCACATATCAGGGAACCAGCCCCCAATATTTCAATGTAGGTTCTTTTCTATTTTCCCCAACTGTCAACCAGTCTGAGAAATAAAGAGAAAGAGCACAAAAGAAAGAAATTTTACAGCTGGGTCTCCTGAGGTGACATCACGTGTCAGCAGGTTCTGTGATGCTCCCGAGCTGCAAAACCAGCAAGTTTTTATTAGCGATTTTCAAAGGGGAGGGAGTGTATGAATAGGGTGTGGGTCACAGAAATCACATGCTTCAAAGGCAATCAAATATTACAAGGCAAATGGGGGCAGAGCAAGATCACAAGGCCAGGGTGAAATTAGAATTACTAATGAGGTTCCATGTCCCACTGTGCATGCATTGTCATTGATAAACATCTTAACAGGAAACAGGGTTTTAAGAGCAGAGAACTGGTCTGACTAGAATTCAGGTTGGAATTTCCTAATCCTAGCAAGCTGCAGGAGACCAGGGCGTATTTTATCCCTTATCTTCAACTACATAAGACAGACACTCCCAGAGTGGCCATTTTAGAGGCCTCCCCCTGGGAATGCATTCTTTTCCCAGGGCTGTTCCTTGCTGAGAAAAAGAATTCAGTGATATTTCTCCTATTCGCTTTCGCAAGAAGAGAAATATGACTCTGTTCTTCTGCCCGGCCCTGCAGGCAGTCAGTCTTTATGGTTATCTCCCTTGTTCCTTGAAAATTGCTGTTATCCTGTTCTTTTCACGGTACCCAAATTTCATATTGTTCAAACACACATGCTTTACAAACAATTTGTGCAGATAACGCAATCATCACAGGGTCCTGAGGTGACATACATCCTCAACTTACAAAGATGACAGGATTAAGAGATCAAAGTAAAGACAGGCATAGGAAATTATAAGAGTATTGACTGTGGAAATGATAAATGTCCATGAAATCTTCACAATTTATGTTCAGAGATTGCAGTAAAGACAGGTGTAAGAAATTATAAAAGTATTAATTTAGGGTACTAACAAATGTCCATGAAATCTTCACAATTTATATTCTTTTGCCATGGCTTCAGCTGGTCCCTCCATTTGGGTTCTCTGACTTCCCACAACAGGCACACATTCTTATTTATTTAATGTATATCTTTTGCTCATATATGTTTTGAAGATGTACACTGTTTTGTCTGCATACATACTTAATAAATGTAAATGGTAATGTTTATATTCTGTTTTTTTCCCACTCAGCTCTGTTTTTAAAGCTTTATACACATTGCTCTATAGACATATATTATATTGTGTTCTCACAACTGCGTGGTGGAGTCTCATCACATTTTATTTATCTACCTGCCCAGGCTTGGTCTCTCAGGTTGCCTTCCTGTACCAACTGTTGTGATGCACATTCTTGCATGTGGCCCCTTGTGGAGCTTTGTGAGAATTTCTCTGGAATATATACATAAGACTAGAATTGTTTAATTCTAAAGTTCCCATGTACTTAATTTGATGAAATCCTTCCAGATTGCTTTCTAGAATAACTGCACCAATTTTTATTCCCATCAGCAATGCATTAGGTCTCTTATACCTCCAAGTATCTCTCCACCTTTGAAGGTCTGAGCTTTGAAACATTAGGCTCCAATGTCATCAGAGGCAACTTTTAAAATGGGAAGGTTGCTTGATGTGGTGTCCTATTCATCCTATATTTTCTAATTCTCTAAGACTTTTATACCCTTTAACTCATAGCAATATTCAGTCAAGTATTATCATCTTCATTTCATTTGTCAACCTAAATAACAGAAATAAAAGAAAAAGAAATTTATTTGGGAATAGAGTATTGCAATGGGTATAGATATGCTATAGTAAACCATCTGCATGCATATTAAGGGAAGTAAAGGACAACAAAGATTTTGAAATGAAAAAATGAGGAGAATTACGTGATAATTTTGAAATAATTATCCTTAGCTACAAATATCAGTAACAACGGTGACACTAGTTCAAGGTTGGATAGGCAGTTGTCGTCCTTGTAGAAATATTTTTTTTTGTATAAAGTTCCCATGGCTTTTTCAAAAGATTGTGATTTTGTATAGTTTTCTGTAATAACTTTTATCAAGCATAGTAGCAGGAGAACCCTCTCTTCATGGCCATTTCTGGCTCTGTCAGATTTTTGTTTTTAATTGTTTGTGACTCCATTTTGATTCTGAAACTCTTACATGTTGCTGAAACATTTGAGCCCAACAGGTTATTTGACTGAGGTCACCAAATTAGTAAATGACAAACCTAGCACAAGGTCTTTTGATTTACCTACTCTGTTATTTCTACAAATTGCTGCATCTAAACATCATGGTCTAATTTATTTGCTCAGTTTCTCAGTAAAGAACAGAGTCTTTATGTTGATTGTTTGGAGAACATGGAACATGAATTAGTGATTTTTCAGGTTTGTGAGCAGTGCATTCAGTGCACTAAGGAGGCACTTGGGGGCACTATGTATGTTTCTGAAGAGGAAGGAGATGAGGACAGATGATGTGGAATTGCCAGGTACGAGACTGAATCTTTATTTGGGTTCTCCCAGAAGTGAACTCTAAGGCAAGGATTTAGTATAGGTAGTTTATTTGGGAGATGATCATCAGAAACACTGATAAGGAAGTGAGGAAGTAAGCTAGGGAAGCCAGTTATTACATTGGGCAACTACTGTAGTTTATTTCTGCTAAGAAATTTGAGGACACAAGGCTGAACAGTCCTCAGACTTCATTCAATTTAGAGGAAAGGAAACTGGAGTAGTAATTCTAAAGCCTGACTATTAACCTTTACGTGACTATGGCTGTGACTTCCTTCTTTATAGAGCTTTTGTCTTTTTCGGACTTTTTATTACACATCACCAGTGGGACCCACTATTTTCTTGTGAAATTTTAATTTGGTGAAAATGGAAGGTCTTTTGAATATTGTTCTTCCTAGTCTCGGAAGTAAAGTGCAGAAACAAAGAGATAATTGAAAGCTTAAGTAACAAAGGAATATTCTCAGAATATTCTCAGAATTTATCTATTGGGCAAGCAGAAAAATCTGCAATTAGGACAGGGAACAAAAATTCTACTTTAACTAGACTGCTGCAGATTTCTACATGTGAATCAATTAGAAATTAAATCAACGGTGTGAGATGATAACTTGATTTATAAGAAAAGATTGTTTTGCTTAGAGTAAATCCAGAGGTCTTAGAATAATCAACTAGTAGTTAGAAAATATTTCTGGATTTGTTTAAAGTATATAGTACATTTGGGGGAAATTTCATATTTTCCTGTGGTAGGTTGTAAAATTAAATGTTATATTCCCTTCATACTTTAAAATGTATTATTTTCAATTTATCTGACTAGAAATAGGCTTTTCTCTTCATTTTATAGTTTAATAAAAAGGCTTTCATTTCTTATAAAAGTTTTCTAACAGATGTATATGCAATTTCTCAACATCACTTAAGCACCTGAGTCCATATTTTCCTTAATTGGAAATTCTGGGGATAAATTCGAAAAATAAACCCACACAATAGACAGAGGAAGACTCACAAATGCTAAAAAAAATAAAAAATAAATAAAAAAAAAAAAAAAGAGAGAGAAGGAAAGTAAAAAAGACAAATTTTTTCAGGGAGCTTTAGATTGTGATTTAAAAACACTGAACAGAATATC